CCCGTTTTTCCTTTTCAACTATTTACATATTCAAAGACCGGAAATTGAGGCAAGACAACACATTACACCTATTTTTTATTATTATCGATCGAGCCAGAAGTAGCAGCAGCAGCAGCAGCATCACATCATGGGCCGGTCCAACCACTTCTGAAAACGCGTTTCTTCTATCGTGACCGTTTTCTACGCGGCCAGAAGGATGTTCTCAGCCCATGTCTTTGGTTGGGGGGAAAGGGTGTCTGCAGTGGAGCAGGGGGGGATGGGGGGAGAAGGAATCAAGAGCAGTGCAGTATGGTCAAGGCAGCTCATCAAGATACCCAACTCGTTTCGCGAGCTCACTTATCCGGTGTGCGAATTATGGATTTGTTTTCTTCTTGTTTGGCATTGCTTCAGTTGTCTATGCTATGCGCTATGATACTACAATGCAGTGTATCATGGTCATCTTACGGGTTTCATGTCACTATTTGTCATTTATTACTTGCCACCATCACCTGAACGGCCCCTGCTACTACTGTGCGGAGAATCATCTCAGATTATTATTTCTTTGTGAGAGTTACAAGGCTATTCTTTTCAATATTTCTTGGGGGGTGACAGAAAGGAGCACGCTGCGGGTGCCCTTTTGGACTTTACACATCTATTTCTAAAGAGGAATTTGTACAGATAGGTGATTCTGTCTTGAGAGAAAACAAGGAGAGCCTTTGGAGACAACATGCCAAGACATTGGTCAAAGCTCCGTCACTAGAGGGAAGTCTGCCTTTGTTATTGGATATGAGGCTTATGAAGAATTGAACCCCAGATCCTTACTATTCACGGTCCTTGATCTGATCCATGCGCAGGGAAGGCTGACTAGAGATCTGTGATGGTTCCGTCCGTGGCTTGCTTGTGCCGTAATCTGAAGCATAGATCAGGATGTACAAGTGCTTCGGTGAACGTCACTGTTTCTATAAATATTCTGATGTGTGCGTATATGAGGCTGTGCAGAGCTTTTTGTGAGATATCCGATTCATGCCCGTCCAACAATGTGACGGTAGTCTGGGAGATGAGGTCCTCGGCGATACATCGTCACTCATACGTTCAAGCCCTCCTTTTTCAGCTTCGCATACAGAGCGTCCTTAGAAGCTTCATAGCCAGGTACCACAATGCCTTCACCTGTTGGAACCGGTGCATTGAAAAGTGGTACAACTCTCGTTTCCCCCTTGGTCACTTCGAGGATGGTGCCATTTCCATAATCTGGGTTAACGACAAGTTGCCACATGCCTTGAGCCACTTCTTGAGGATCTAGCAGAACTGTATCCTCGTCTAGCATGACTGCTTTGGTTGGGTCTTCATGCCACAGAGGAGTCTAGTGGTAGCCTTGCATTAGCAGTCTTCCAAAGGCTCGCAGAGACTCTGGCGAGCTTACCTCGACTGCGCCGGGAGCAATACAGCCGACTCGAATACCGAGTTCATCACGCAATCCCCCCAATGCTCTCACAAACCCATGCAAGCCATGCTTACTCGCAAAGTACAAGGGCGTTGCTATGCCGGCTAAGTAGCCTGCCATACTGCCAACATGTACAAGGCATCCCTTCTGCTTCGCCTTTGTCCAATGCCCGATAGCCAGCTGACTGAGCCGAATGGGAGATACTAAGTTCACATCCAAGACTGCATAGTGTCCAGGTTCCGCATTGGCATCATCTCGAGAAACACTATCTTTGTTACTCTCAGTTCTGGGTGGTTCCCAGAAGGAGGACCATTGAGGCTCGAACAGACCGGCTCCTGGAACGACAATATCGACAACTGTGAACTTCTCCAAGGCCTTCTCCCAAGCAGCCGTCAACTGTGTCCAAGATGTAACGTCGGTTTCTTGAAACAACACCCCAGCTCTACCGTCGATGCCGGGGAACGGATATTGCTTCAGGAGTTGTTGAGCTTCGGGTCGCAATTTGAGATCGGCAATGAGGACCGAACATCCATTGTCTAGGAGTATACGGACAAAGCACAAATTGATACCTGTGCTTCGTCGTCAACCAATAGTCCACGATTCCTTGCAGGTCTGTGTATTTGGCATGTTCATACCTGAGCCACCGCCAGTGACAAGCGCGGATTTCCCCTGCACAGACGTTGGCATACTCCTTTTGATTAGAAGTGTTTCACTTTAAGGTTGTTAAATTGTTGGTGATCCGATCGCCAGCGAGGGCCCAATGACGCGAGTTGTGTCTTTCAGGGCTGTATGACCCCTACTCCAACTGTTATATGAATCAGCGTTGCAGTCGCTCGCTCAACTGTTTTGAATAAGAGAGTTGATATTGGAGACAAGAGTGAACTGAAGTGCAGTTTCTGCGGGGTAGTCTGATTGTCGTATGAAAGGCACTAGGGACATGCATTGGCTGACGAATGAATCTACTGCGTACTTCTTCATATGGGTTTCATGCAAAGTCTAATCTGCGTGTACTCCGTACTGTATCTGTATATGGGTATTCTGACCCCTGTTACTTGCAGCAATATGTTGTCTCACCTCCTCTCTGAAGCATTCATGTCAAATCAAACACCAGCCTTCTCCTCATCTCCAGATCCTTGCACCTGTATCGTCTCTGAATCCGAATCCTCCGGTTTGCCCTCCCGACAAGCCCATCCGTCCACTAATCGCAACGTTTCACGGCTCCACACGCGGTTCATGAGCGATAACCGGACGGGAACTAAAGCGATGATGATCAGAGGGAATGCAGGGGCCGCAACTGTCAGCGTCACCCCAAAAACAATACCTGTCATGATGATCTGTGTGACAGTGTACATGTGAATACCAAACCAGCTAACATTATCAGGGAGGGCAGGGAGATCAGATGGCGGCGTGAGTAGGTTTACAACTCTTTCAAGAATAGGGTTGACAGTTAGAGACTGGTAACCCATGAAGAGGAACAGACCAGCCAGCACTGATGTCTGTGTAAGACCCAGAAGCTTCTGTAGTGGGGGAGACACAAAGATCAGAATGAGAGAAGCTTGGATAAAGTGAGAATATCTCTGCTCATATGTCCTTGCGACTGGCTGAGGCGAATCTGGCTGTTCCCCTTCTTCCGCAGGAGGACTCTCAATGACATAATGCATCAATGATTCTGAGTGAAGCGGCGCTTGAGGCAACAGGCCGTTTGCAGGAGGAATCCCAAGAATACCGCAAAGGATGGTAGTGGTTCCCAAGAGAGCAACATCCCAAGCATACCCGCCTGGCTTCTTGGTCCCGTATCGTTCCACGGTGCAGATAATGCTGCTGATTTCGTGGTCGAAGTAGAACAAGACCGTGACGATGGCGCCCGGGATCATGGATAAGAAGACCCATTCGATAGGTATCTCCCAGAAGCGAACAAAGAAAGTCGATCTGTCTGGGTTCGTGGGTCGAAAGCTGGTTTGGACTTCGAGCCGTATATGATCTAATGATGCTAGTTCCCCGATATATGGAATTCCGATCCAGATAATAATGGAAATAGCAGCGGCATATTCTGTAAGTCCAAGTCGAACGTAGCGATGGAGCATAGGCTTCCACGAGTTTGCCGTAGACAGCAGAATTGCCAGGAGACACGTTCCCACCGCTCCAAGAACAGCATATAGAAAGGCAGCAAGGGAGACTCGAGCGTGGGTCCGCTTCAGCTCCATTGCCGCCTTGTGGAAGTAGATGACGCTGTTGAGGAGTGAGAAGATGTCGGCGCTGAAATGGGTGACATATTGCATGGTCCAGTCATGCGCGTTGAAGATGGCAAGGAGATAGTGCATCCAGCCAGCGTGGATGAGGGACCATGCCATGACTGGTAGAAATTCGACCTGGGAGGTGTTAGTCGATGGCCACCAGTATAAATGCACACTGTTTATCGACTTACATGGAAATGTGTCTCGCATAGTTCGTAGATGTTCTCAGCCAGCACCGAGAATGGGCCTGTAACGCCCAGAATCGTAAGAGGTTGGCCCGAGAAGCTAGGAGCTCTTGTCAGAATGTGTAACGAGGTATAAAAGGGTGTTCGCATGCTACTGACAGAGAGAAAATGAGGCCGCATAATCCAGTACTGAACACAACCTCGATGGTTCCCCACGACTTGCCGGTCAATGTGTATAGATCACTGGCAAAAGTGATGCCGGGAAGAAGGTTTGTGAAGAAGATGTAGACTGCACTTGCAACCACCTGTTGATTGAAGATCTGCCAATCTGACAAGTATCGACTCTTGAGGTTGATAACATCTTCCTTCAGCAGTCGAAAGGGTCGAAGTTTCCCACCTCTTGCAAAGTACCTGGATGCTCGCCCTCCTCCATTTGCAGGGCTCGAGGCATCATCCTCAGCTAGGGCATTTTGAGTGTTTGGTGTAATGGTATTTCTAGAACCGAGCGTTGGCGTCCGCTCGACATTGATAGTGTCTTGGATAGGCTCTGGCTCAGCCATTGTTCACAAGTGACAGGACAGGACAGGACAGGACAGAATTTGTCGTTTTTGCTAAGGATTTGAAGCACATGTTGGAAATTCGCATGGTCCCGGGGGCTCTGAGTCAACTTATTATTCTCTCAGTCTCGCTATAACTTTAGCCTTTGTTCTGGTGAAAAAGCTCAAGCCCAGTCTTGGCCTTTTCTTGGCTTTGGTGATTTTCCTTGGCTTTCCATAACCTTTTGCCCTTGTCGGTGCCGTAAAGGGCGAGGCGGCACTTGGTTGTGTCTCCCCATGCTGTGTCCTAATAGTATAATAAACCGCGTGGGCAATTCTCCAATATCAATTGGTTCAACAGGTTCTCGACGATACCGAGAGCTGAGCATGACGTAGCTCCTATTATCGCGAGCTCTTATCGGCACGTGCGGAGGGGCGAGGCTGAACATGGTGGGGCACTAAGACGAGGCTGAGGATCAGATTTACATCATGCCCTCTTTTTCAGGGTCCTCTTCATCCTATCACATCTCAATGCTCCACGATACCCATTTCGAAAAGCAACGGCGCTTCTTCAATTCCCTGTTGAACAAGACGTACTACCGTAAAATCACACTGAATCGACACAATGGCACAGTTTGTCCCTCGGCAAAGTTTTGTCGTACCAAACTCCATACCGAAAACGTACTATATCGGCCATCATGCCAAGGGCTTCGGCGAGATGACAAAAATGAAGAGCCACATCTCTCTTGCTCTCGAATGCCGCGACGCTCGGGTCCCTTTCACATCACACAATCCCAATCTCGATCGCATCATAGCCGGTAACGAACGAATCATCATCTACACAAAATGCGATTACACAACAGACACTCCAAATCTCCAAAACATACTGCGCAAGATTTATGGTGATAATATCATCTTCTGGGACAAGAACAGACCCTCGACGACAGATAAGCTACTTAAAATGATCAAGAGCGCTACCGTGGCGCACGATTCATTGGTCGGTTTGCGGGCCATGGTTGTCGGAGTGCCCAATGTCGGCAAGAGTTCAGTGCTCAACGCTCTACGCTTCAAAGGCATACCGAGGAAAACGGCCAAGGTAGCCAGGACTGGAGGCCAGGCAGGCGTGACGCGCAAAATGGGTACAAATGTGCGCATCCTCGACCCAGAGGGGAAGAGTAAGGGCGTAGGCTTAAATGGTGCATTTCTGTTGGACACCCCCGGTGTCTTCCCACCCTACGTTCGTGACGGCGAGGCTATGCTAAAATTTGCGCTCGTGCAGGGCATAAAAGACGGGTTAATACCAACCGAGATACTGGTGGACTACCTCCTCTACCGGATGAACCTCTTCAAGCCGACCTTGTATAAGAGATACTGCGAACCCACCAACGACGTTCATGAGTTCCTTACCGCCGTTGCTCGGAAAGACGGCCTAATAAAGCTAAAAGGCGTTCCTGATTTACAATCGGCTGCTAGCAGAATCCTACACTTGTGGCGACATGGGAAAATGGGCAAGTTCGTGCTGGACGATGTATCCGACGAGGGATCAGAGAAGCACCAGCAGTCCATAGACAACCCTCCTCTAAGTCTAAACCAAGCAAAGAAACAGAAGAAACAAGCAATCGCACAAGAGAAGGCAGGTGCCTAGCATTCTCAGGAATCCATTTCTGTTGCATACGTTGTATACTAGAGCATACTCCATGTACACTATTTAAGCCTATTCTCTGTCATCTCATGCCAAACTTGATTCGAGTCCTCCTCCTCCATGCCTCTCAAATTGTGCAAAGACGCCAATGACCGAACCCTCGGGCCGTACTAGGGTATATATAGAAAGGCAGCCGGAACAACAGCTTCGCCTCGTGAAGCGGTTCCATAGAAATAATAATACCGACAACAGATTATACACAAGCTCATACAGCTTTGCCTGTTGCATCTGCTGCGGATGCTGGTGACGCCCCTTGATGCTCCTAACCGTAAACGCCTTAAATAAGAAATCGAGCGCAGGTCCCTTTTATCTCATCATGATGGACCTACTGAAACAAAGTGCTGCCGTCAGGTATACTGATTCTGCCACTTGACCATATCTCGTGTCAGGACATCCATCATCTCTATACAGTTCAGATCCTTAAAATCTTTGCCCCCAGAAGAGCCTGCTATATCCTCATTCTCTACAGAATGGGAGTCTGAGGACTTTTGCGGCGATGCTTCTCCGTTGCTTGCGTTTCCGTTCGTGCCTGGGATTGCTTCCGCTGCAAGGTCCACTTGGGTCCTTGAAATGAAATCCATTATGGCACCGACACGCCGCTTCATATCCACCATATTCAACTTGTGGTGTAAGGCGGGCTTTGACTTGCCATGTCGATGTTCACTTGTAGGTTTCGTGTGTGTAGGGGTGGGTTCTTCGCCGTTCTTTTGAATGTCCCTTGACATGGATCGTGCTGGGGATTCGCCATCCACATCGCGGTCCCTCGTGTATTGGTTCCTGCCTTTGCCCTTCTTATGTGTAGCTCTGCCGCCGCGCTTGGCGGTGCTTGAGACCGTCTGGCTGCTCGCAGGGGGTGTGTCGGGAACGGGCAGCGCAAGTGCAGGGGGTTCCATAATAACCGGTGTCTCGATGCTCTTGGTAGCGGGAGGTTTAGCAACGGCAGGAGGTGTTTCCTCTGAAGGGTCAGAATCTATGCAATGATCAGTACCCTGCTTAATCAGAATGTACGCTCCAACATACCCTCTCCTCGTCGCCTTTCTGCGCGGCCTTTCCTTTTATCTGCAGCTTCCTGTCGCTGGCGCTCCTTATCTTCCTTCTCCGTCTTGGTTCGCTGGTTCTTGCTGTTACGAGCTTTCTTGGTTCCATTTCGAGTGTTGACCTCCTCATCTGATTCGTTGTAACTTTGAACCTCGACCAGCTCAGTAGGAGGTGAAGGTGACATCGAATTGGTTCTCTGTCTCTTTACACTTAATGGGTTCCTCAGTGATGCCAGTTTCTCATCCCGTGGCCGAGCATTGACGGCGATTGACTCTTCACTATCGCTTCGTCCCCGTTTCGCTCGTCGGGTCACCATTTCTTGTTCATCTTGAGGGACATCTTCTTTACTTGCTTCAATGGCACGCAGGAGTTGCTCGTCTTCATAAGCTCGGTCGCGGCTATTCATTGTGGATCGGCGTTTTGAGGTTTGTGAGGCGGATGTTGGGCGCGAGGTCTTACTCGTGCCAGTCTTGGGTGAACGATTGCCTTCCTTGGCGATTGAGGTGGCTCGAGATGTTGCGCGCGACGGCCGGTTATGGGGGACATACTTGGACCATTTTTGGCTGAAAACAAACTTGTCAGTACTCAGGTTCGTGAGAGGGCCGCCCAACATGCGTTATCCAAGAATTCAAGCAACCAGAAAAACATGAAATCCATGCCGCCAGCAAAAAATCATACTGGGCAATTCACTTACCCGTTGCTTGCAGTGTATATTTTATGGAGATCTTTCCGACATTGCTCGCAAAAATATTCTTCGGGAGAGCTCTCAGCGCTAAAGATGCCGACACAGGCGCCGTGCTGCCAGACCTTGCAAATGTCGCATTGAACGAAGAAGCCGGTAACGTCTTCAGTAAATTCTATGGCATTGAAGAAATCCAGGTCGGCGCCTTCCACGGGTGGGCGGCCCGGGTATTCTTCTGCATCACAGATACATCGCACGGCTTCGTCCTCCTCTTCTGGGAGGTCGTCGCTGCCATTCGCCATTTCAAAATTATCGGGTTTCAAAGTCTTATCGTTTTCGTCTTCGTGGTTACGCTTTCGCCTTCGACCGAGGAGGGTATCGTCAAGATCTTCAAATGGCTCCGAGGACAAAGAGTCACTTGGTGTGGATTTGTTGGAAGACGGTTTGGCGACTGATCTCGTATTCCGCTCAACTCGACCAGAGGTGCTTGAGGATACAGATGACTGTTGGGATTGTGAATTGGTGGCACGGGCTCTTGATGACCGTCGCGGCGAGGGTGGTGCCATTGAGGGAGCCGGGTCACCGATCTGAGGTGACAGAGGAGAAAATGGAAGAAAGGGCGAGAGGTTGTGGGAACCAACAACGGCGCGTGGGACAAAATACAGTAGATATGTTCTTCTCAGCGCCAATCGAGAAGTTGAGAGGTAAGGAAATCGCGAGAATTGGTGGTGGTGAGCAAGGAATAAAGATTGTTGAAGCTGGCTAGTGACCAGCGATGAGTGCGACTACTGAAAGAAGAATGTCAAGTAAGGGCGACGGTATCGAAGGACGGATTGGCAGGCAAGCATGTCGAGACCGAGTAGAAACGCCGTGGTCATGACACGGAGAGTTGCCGTAACGAAGAGTATGAGAGAGAGACGAGTGGGTGGAAGCTTTCTTCGGAACGACGAGGAGGAGGAGGAGGAGGATGAGGAGGATAGCCAGAAGAAGCGCGGGCATGGGATGGGTGTGGGAAAGTGGGCAGGAAGGTGGGCGCGGGTCTCACTTTGCTTGGGATCCTTCCCAAAGCAAAAGCCGGTGGAACCACTGCGAGCCACCTGCAGAACATAAAGTTATAGCGCTCGCTGTGCAGACTGAGCTCACTAACAAGTTCCGATTACAGGGGTCTTTTGGGGTTCGCGAACCTGAAGGTCTCTGACGGGAGCAGCCAAGAGGCAAAATTAGTGCCCACTCACCGCTGAGGTGCAGCGCATGACAGTGACCAGACGGCTATTGGCCGGCTCCAATGAGGAGACTATGAGAGCGGTTTGTTTCCGCATCATTTAGACTGTTTCCATATTAATTGCCCTACCATGCATGCCCTGCATTTTCTGATGAGTGACATCAGGAAAATATGGAATGCCATGTTGTTCGAGTGAGCCACAAAACAGTTATTTCACCACGCTCCAGTCCAGTATAGATTACTCAGGACAGGTTTACGCATAAAAGCATTGGAAATGTACAGTTGAAGCTCAAGATTATAAACGTGGTCGTCCCTCTTTTTTCCCTTGTGGCTGCTGTTAGCAGGAATTGGAGAAGACGGGAGGGCGGGACAGTCAGGTATTGGAAGCGCCAGTGTGATTGCCTAACCCGCCACCTCCCAACGGCCCTGCCTCTACCTTAGCACCTCCACAGATTAGTAGTTGGTGATTCAATCACACTCAAATACAGCAACGTTGAGGGCGTTATCGGACTTCGCATTGTGTTATTCTGGCTACCCGCTTTGATAATTCTTGCTTCATAAATTTTGTCTCCTTTTTGTGCCTCCTGTAGCGCCTGCGCTCATATAAAAGCGTCCTTCGTGTCCACGAACACCCCCTCCATCACCCTGTCCATGACTGGGTAAGCGAGCCCCGGCCTTGAGCGACCAAGAGCGAGCGAGTCTGCCATCCATTCGTACACCTACTACAGGAATCGATACAAGTACGAAACGAGCCGAGCTGGTGCAGGCTGGTACTCGTATCAGTGCCAAACACTGAGTTGTGATATCGACGATATGTTCTGACCCGCACACAGAACGCTTTAGAGCCCGACCGAACCAAGTTTACCCCTCTGAGCTTCGAAGAGACAGGCATTCTTTTGCAAATCACCGTTTTGGTCTTCTCTGCGACTTGTATAACTAGTATTGCAGTATTAAATTTGTTTGCCGCCAACGAATTGTACAAGCTCCGACCCCTCGTTTGGCAGGACTTGCCCTTCGACTGTCGTGTCTGCCGTCGTTTAGAACAGAGCCTATACAATGTTCGATGGGTACGCTTTCCGTTTGCTTTGCATTTGGCCCGTCAGTTGCCAATCTAGCAGGTGTTGGTCCTGCAACTGCTTTCAACTGCCAGCAAGGCTGAGCAGCTTCTGACGGTGCCAACAACTCTTCCAATACCATCTGCGACCATGTCGAACTTCGCTATAATTGTGGCGATTCTCTCCATCGTTCTGGTGATCTACGTGCTAACGAGAAATGTTCGTTCACGCGCAGGTTCAAATCTCAACATGTCGCCAGATACTGTATCGTCGCTATTCCCAGACCGACCGATTCGGCCGTTACCGAAACGTCGACTGCGCGAGAAGCTCTCACCAGGGGCCGTAGAGACAATAGCGTATCCTCCTTCAACTCACGAAACGACGCCTCTCTTTTATTACCCACCATACAACTTCAGGGAAGACACGAGCCCGCCAAGGGCATGTTCTACAAGCCCATCTCAACAAACTCGTAGAGCGGAGGAGGGCTGCAACTATACCCCTCGACGAAACGGACTGGGGCTGCCAGATGGCGACGATGAAGAGCCGGCTTTGCGAAGCACTCTTGTTACTAGATCACCCCCGGAGATCTTGACTCGTGGGACTCAGCGATCCTCGAAGCCAGATATCCCCGATCCGCAACCACCGCCTTCCGCAACGTCCTCTGTGGATGGTTATGATGTATTTGAAAACACGAACAACAAAAAGAAGCGGAAAATTCCTTCCCCTGGGGAGCTTTCTGTTAATGGCACCCAGGGCTCGAGTAATGAGATTGCCATTTCAGCTGGTGCAGGACATTCTCCTACCGACGAATCACACAACGACCGGGCGTCATTCCACTCAGTCTCACATCCAACGACGGGCACTTTTTCATCCAACAATCAGGGGATATCAGGACCTGGGCGGGGCAGGCTTGGGCGTTCCAGGAATGGCAGAAGCCCGCTGCGAGCATTGTCTGATAGTAACAGTAATGCGTGGGCTGGGCGAGGGCCAAAGGCCACTCAGTGGACAACGGGCGGTACGTTCATCACTCTTCTACTTTTTTCAAGCTCTGTTGCTGTGCCTCCAAACTCCTGCACATGGATTCATCACTAGCGTTTGCATTCAACCGAGTTTCTGGACACGCTATGCCGATGCGCCTTTCGTTATGGAGAGGTTGTTCAGCGACGGGGGGTTCCTGCTCTGCCCTCCATAGCTTTCGGCTAACAGCATAAAACGGAACGGAGACTTGCTCACCATTTTCCATTTCTCCTCCGGTGACAATTTGCACTGCCGCCTGGCTGATGGGATTCTCTCCCCCGCAGTCCGGCCTCGATCTCTGTTCCTTCCACAATTGTGCATCTTCCTTATAACGGATTTCCAGCTGCTAACGCGAACTTAGAGCAAGAGGGCAGTGGTATAATATCAAATGCTATCGCAAACGCCGAGAAACTTCGACCTCAGGGACAGGAGAACGTTAGTCTACTTCAACAACACTCTATCGCAACAAGATCGACTCCAGCATCAACCCAGTTTACTTTCACCTGTGATTCCCAAGTCCCTGGCACGGTTCAGTGGCCCGGTGAGTACATGTTGCACAGTCGAGACTTTGATTTACTGACATAGCCGTTAGGCCACTCGAGCAAGCACAGCATGTCGACTCAGGCCGGCCCTGGCTCCTTACCACCTGGCAGTGTTGCTCCTCACGATGGGTCTTCCGTGGCAGCTAGTCGAGGCTCCGGAAGTTCTCGTCGAGACAGCAAACGACGCCTAGACAGATCACTCGAAAGGGCTGCGCGGCGACGTCGTCGAGAGGCGCGGCAGGATCCCACCAAAACAGCTGACGAATGGATTTGCGAATTCTGTGAATACGAAATGATATTTGGAGTGCCACCCAGAGCATTGATCCGACAATATGAGATGAAAGACCGCCGACGCCGACAGGAAGAAGCTGATCGCAAACGACTTCTCGAAAAGGCCAAGGAGAAAAGTCGGAAGGCCAGAAAGGGCGGCAAGAAACCTGCATCTCGGGGAGAGAATGCTGCCGCTCAGAACCTGCCTCAGGAGCCTAGCACATCTCTGGACATGAACCACAATCATTCGAATCAGTCAGGAGAGGACGAGAACCATTTCCCGGATTCCCCAGGAGATCGCACTGGGCCAGACATACCGACTGAGGTCCAGTCATCATAGTTTGCAAGCATGATTCAGTGGAAGGGGCTGCTCCCAGCAATCGCGGTACTCCCTATTCTAGCCTTGATGATCGGGGTACGTCGGCGACCAACAGAGCTATGAAGGGGGATGTATACCTACCTAGAAGATATCAGCGAACCTGGACACTGCGGTGTCTGGCATCTGAAAATGAGGCACTCCTGCTCTTGAAGGTGAAGAAAGGGACAAAGCCCAATCTACGACAGGTTTCTTGCTTGCTGCTATTGGGGGAAGTGTGGATAACAAGAGACTGAGCTACTCGGTGGGGAGGCGGCTCAGTAACGACACGAAAGTGACATTTGGTTTAAGGATAGGTACTTAGGCAGGTAGGAATAGGTAGAATGTTGTAGCTTGGGCCACGACAAGCAGCACTTGGGTTCAATCAATCAGACCAAAGTCATATTGCATGATAACAGGGCTATCCTAACTTACTCAACATTTCCCAACCACACATTGGTTGTGTGTTTGAACTTAAGAATATGCACAGACAACTACTGGTACATACTGCAAAATTGCATGAAAGCGAATCGGCTACGATTGAAACGTCCTAGTCAAGCTATGATGTCAGGAAGCTGTTCAGTTCAGCTGGAGATTTGAGGTGGGTTTTGATCTAGGATATGCGGAGATACGGGGCGCTTTATTATTAGCTTACATGCCATCCATGAATGTCAAGAGTGGTTGAATTGTGTTTGCAGTAGCATACTGTAAAGAATGCTCTATAATACTGATGGGATGCATGCGCCCTGAGCAGCGTATATTCTTCTACATTTGCTGGATGATTTACAGTCTTGCTGTTCTCCAGCTACTAACCTACTAACCTAGTATGTAGGTACTACTGTACAATTTGTCTCCCAGGTCCATCCGAATCCCGATGCAGAACAATGCCACTACCACGAAGATCAGTCCCTCAGTGGGTCAGGGTCAGTCTTTGAATGAGCCGGCGGCCGTGCCTCATGCCTCAGGTCGAGCAACAGGCAACCAAGCAAGATTACAATAGTCCCCAGATTGTTTATTATGTTTATTCCGCCAAGCAATCTTTGTAGATCTCGGCAGGTGGAAACTGGAGGCCTGCCGAGACGGGACCTGATGAGGCACTGATCTACAATTTGAATTACTGATCTCCATGGATCTGTGCAGCAGCAGATGGCACTACTGAAAACCGGAAAGCTGAGGCATTGTACAGTATCGGATGTGTGTACAACGACAACCACGTGTTGGTCGACGTGGGCTGCTGGGGAGGGAGTAACAGGAGGAGGTTTCTATGACATAAATGGTCATCACCTCAAGCAAAGTCATCACAATTATCTTATTGGACCCTTGAGTTTCCGTCCAATGCAATGCAATGCGCCCTGGAAGATGGAACAACCGGAATAAAAATTTAAATGCCAGAAACAGGGTGGGTCTGCTAATTGAGGCTAGTGTTAGTGGCTTCATAACCTGTCGTCATCAGGTCGGGTCTTTAACGAGCATGGACTGGATGGAACCTCCCTCCTCCCTCGTCTCCGTCGGGTCCAGTCCTTGGAGTCTTCCTCAAACTACTTTTTTAGCTGCCCTAATCTCCGTCTCAACCCATCCCGTTTAATCCTGACGTATCCACGACACAGCATCTCTTACTACGACTACCTTGACTCACATCTCAGCGTCATTGTTCACTAACCTCCGGAAATCCGTGGCCTTGATCTTGATGCAAGCCGTCTGTTGAGCTGAGCTGGCCTTGCGCCGCTTTCGATCTAGTCAAGCTTAATCCAGCCCATCATGTTTGGAGGCTCAAGGAGGCATCGTCCTCCCACTCAGGTGAGCCGTCTTCCTCCTCTGCTCAGTTCACTATTGCGGCTCTCACAAAACCGGTTTTGGCTTTTGGCTTTTGGCCCGCTACGGAACCCGCCCTGGTAGGCAAAAGCCATTAACTTAAGCTCACCTATCGAGACTTGCCGCATTTGCTCATGTCTTTGATTGTTGTCTTTGACCTTTATCCCTTGATGCTACGCTCCCCCTCTCAATCCAATTCTCTTTTCCTTTCCATCGCTTTCGCAATTACACGTCGTTGCTAACATGGCGCTCTCCTCTCAGCCGTTAACCCGGGAGACTGCCAATCCCAACGCTGCGACAGCCGCCGCCTCGGCCTTTCTAAGGCGTGAATCGACGCCATCTCTGTCATCAGCTGCTGCGGCTGCTGCTCTAAAAGCTCGACCTACAACCCCCACCAATGTGTCGCAGGTCCAATCCAAAAGAGTTGCGCGGAGGAGCGCTTCCGTCTCGTCTACAGGAAGTCGGGACAGGAGAAGTCGGGAACTACATCGATCGCCAAGCGCGAGTTCTATGACCGAACGGACCTTTCGATCGCCCTCGCCTTCGCCAGCACGAGTCGCTACCCCGCAAGCCCAGGATGTTCCTCCAGTGCCCAAAATCCCCCAGCATGAGCACAACAAGACAAATCCGAAGAGCTCGACCCACAAACGAGCAACAAGCTTGCAAACACAACATTTCCAAACTGCAAGCCAAAAGATGAAAAGCGGACAAGCTCAAGGTTCATGGTTTGGGGCAGCTACAGGGAACGATTTGTCTAACGTGCGTCGCGCCCCTGTGGCTGATAAACGGGCATCAGCAGATTTACGGCCAAGCAGTCCGAACTCTATCAATTTCTCGTATCCTCGCTCTATGACGGAGTCTCCAAGCCCATCAAGTAATGCCATGGTGTACGATCCCAATTCGAGGCGGATGGTCCCTCAGGCACAGCTTTTGATGATAGATCAGACTGTCCGTGATGCATCGGAGAAATCTGTTCGCAAGCAAAAGCTTGATGGATCCAGAACTGGCACTCACTTGTCCAAGGGAACCGTCGGGAGACTTAAGGGCACTGCAGTCGAGCCAGCCTCACCACCACCAAAGGCAGTCGCAAGCCCACAAAGCCCTTCGATTACTTCTGCTGCTACAACGCAACAGCCTGGGCACCCAGAAGCTGACCTTGAATCTGAGCTCGAATCGGATCCTGAGTCTGAGCCAGAGGCCAAGCATGAGGCGAAGCCTAACCCCAACCTGTCAACTGGGCAAGCATTGGTTCAACAAGAACAAGAGCCAGGTGTCGAGACCTCGGGACATCCGAGCCAGACTGTTGGAGTCCCACCAGCAGTAACAAAACCCGAAGCATTGGTTAGAAAGCGTCCTTCTGTAGTGCATGAAGACCCCGAACTAGAGGAGGAGGAACCACAGGCTGCTGTCCAGCCGACGCCTACCAACGAATACCCAATGGATGGAGTAGATGCCATCCCTGTGAAATCAACCTCGCCACCTCAACATCCACGGGAAGCTGCACCAATTCCAGGTCCCAGTGAGACTGTGCGACGAAGTCGCGTGCATTCTGAGAGTCCTGCCCATAGCCCTGCCCGTACAACCCATTTTGCCCCCAAGACCGATCAGCTACTCGTTAGGCATGAGCCGCCTCCAAGATCGTTGTCGCCACGAAAATCCGCACTTAAGTACTCAGGTCCTCGGGATGCATCTCCCTCAGAAGATGGCTCAGATGCGTCTGCTGCCTGGTCAGGTATGGCTGGGCGCGAGGAGACAGAACTCTCGCGGAAGAAGAGCGTCAGGGTGAGCTTTGATGATGGAAACACGGCTGTTGTAGGGGAGTCTGTTCCGTCTTCAGATACAGACTCACCACAAATAGCCAGCCCACAGTCAAGAAAGTCTTGGCATAGCATTATTGGGCGAAACAAAAGAGACTCAGTAACTTTGGACGAAGACGAGACCATGACCCCTCGTCCTGCTCTCCCCTCTTTTGGGAGTATTCGCGAGAAGAAGGTCAGGGAGCCTGAAGAGCGGCCTTTGGTTAGACCTATGGAGAGATCGGCTTCACCTCCAGCTACAGATTCGTTGCCTTCAGAATCGAGTCACAAAGCTCCTGCCCAAGATTTGGCGCAGTCAAGTGATCTGGCTATTGGGTCGGTCTTGGCACAGGAACAGGCCTCTCGCAACGAAGCTAATACTTCCAGATACCGGGAACCACTGCCCCCCGTGGTCACTTCTGTTGATGGCCAGGGGTATATAAGCAATAGTGACCTGAGCTCTGATGAATCCGAATCAGTGGTTATGCCCAAATCTCAAGCTTCTGTCGACCCTGTGTCCGAGACTCAAACAACTATTAGCAACCCTGTCAGCGCCTATGAGAGTAGTTCGGCGAAGTCTAGTCCAAGCGACAACATACCAACCATTTCGATAATACAACCTAGTCCTCGAATTCCCGATGAGAATCAGGCAGAGTCACCGCAAGACTTCTTCGATGTTCCCGGGGGCTTCCCAGCTGGCCCCACTGATGCTTCAGGTGAGAAGGCTATTTCCGAGGACACCAAGGTATCCTCATCAGAACCTCGCTCAAGTCAATCACCAAAAGGTGTTGATCAGCCCACACCGATTGCAACTCGTCGATCCTTCGATTCCACCAGTGCTATGTCTTCAAGCTCTCAGATGCATGACATCCAGGAAGAGTCGGAAGAGTCAGATGGGAGCAGCATTTATAGTGACGCTTATGAGGATCTCTCTGACATGGAAGGCGATGGTTTCTTGTCCCTTGACGCTGTAGTCGACAGCCCCGTCGAATCGGCATTCTCCCAGAAAGTATTTGAGAAGGCCATTGCAAAATCCAAGGAAACCAATGCGTCTCAGCAGTCCACTGCTAAGACTCCCTCTCAGATGCCTCTTCGAACACCGAGTGACTGGGAAACGGCGAAGGCTTATTGGAGAAGTTTGAGCCCCAAGGACAGACGCCAGCTCGAGAAGGAGGCCATGGAGGAGTCTGACGAGGAGGATATTCCAGCAGAAGCAGTCAGACGCTCGAAACCCAAGACAAAGACTCAAGCGAAGCAAAAGCAGAAATTTGCTGAAGAGCCTATGCAAGAACCCATGGAGACTTCCGAAAATGCGTCTGTCTCAGAAAAGCTTCGCAATTCAACTAGAATCTACCAGATCCAACCAGGAACTAGTTG